ATTGTTCATTTTGTTAGTCGATTCTAAATACTCTGTAATGCTGTCATTCTCTTGAATGGTTTTACATTGTTTTGATATACTTAATGCTACAGTATACGAAGTTGTACTCAAGGATTTCAAAGAAAGAAACAATATGGTAACTACTTTTAGGTTAGGATTATCTGGTGGTGAAACACTATTCTGCTTAAATGGTTATGTTTTGATCTGCGCTGTTTCGTTGTTATGCCCTCTTTTATCTCAATCTCCACTCCATTATCTACTTTTTTATCTTTATCCTTTTAATTAAAGGGAAAAAAATAGCAGGATATATTATAGTAACCCACTTTGACTTTTCATTACCTTGATTTAAAGCCCTGTATTACTCTCACCATCTGGTTTTTAACTGATGTTCCCCTATTCTGTTTTGCTGGATAGTATCAGGTTCGAAAGTTTAGGCATCAGCTGTGAAGATAATGAGATTCATTATGACGCCCATTCTTGTTGACTTTTGTCTACTTTTGAAGACCTACAATGTCTCCAATGTTTTGGTTTTGTCGGTTTTGTTCTTTACTGTTTTGTTCAATTGTATTATAACTAATGATATAGGCAATTCTATTAGAGATAGCAGGAGGCATTATGGTAACCATTGTTGATCACCTTGTATTATGTTTTTACATTATCTATTATGTCCACCCTTTTGACTTGACCGATTCTGTTCTGTTATGTCACATTTGGTTTTACTCTCTTCCAAAAAAGTAATAAGAACCGTGGGAGCAATGAAACCCAAAATGTGTAATAGTCATGGTACAAAAGAGAAGAAAAGAAAGTGCTCCAAACTATATAACTGCATGTATATTTAAGTGTATAAGATAGAAAATGATATCACAGAGTTTTATTGGATCAATGAACAGAACTGTTTGCAGTATCATTGATGGAATGTCCACTTTACAAGCTCTAATTTTGTGACTTGAACAATTATTTCTAAGATGACAATATGTAATCCATTAACTAGTGATTTCCTACTGTTCATTTTTTTTCTGTAAATCTGTATAACTTGTACCCTTTCCCTGCTTTTTTTTTCTTTTCTCCTTAAATAAAATTAAAAAAAAAAAAAAAAAAAAAAAAAAAAAAAAAAAAAAAAAAAAAAAAAAAAAAAAAAAAAAAGAAAAGTTGGTTCTTTGAGAGATTAAATAAAACTGACAAATTCTTTGTCAAACCTATCAAAAAAGTAAAGATTCAAATTCACTCAATTAGCAGTGAAATAAGTGAAATCACAAAAGATTCTACAGAAAACCAGAAGATCAACAGCTACTTTGAGAACCTGTATATTTCTAAGACAGAAAACACAGAAGAAATGGACACATTCCTAGACATACATGCATTACCAAAGCTGAATCAAGATATAAAAATTCTAAGTAAACCAGTGCCAACCAATGAAATTGAAGATATAATTAAACACCTACCAACAAACAAACAAAAGCCCAAGTCATGACAGATTCACTGCTGAATTCTACAAGAAATTTAGAGAACACTTAATGCTGCTACTTCTCAAACTCTTGAATGAAACTGAAAGGGAAGCAATACACCCAAATTAATTCCTGGAAGCAAGCATGACCCTGACAAAACCAGGGAAATATCCAATAAAAAAAAAAGACCAATCTCCCTAATGAACAATTTTAGCAAAAATCCTCAATAAGATACTGGCAAACAGAATGCAGCAACTCATTTAGAAGATTATACACTATGACCAAGAAGGATTCATCTGAGAGATGCAGAGACAGTTAAACATATGCAAATCAATAAATGTAATACACCACATTAACAGAAACAAGGATAAAAAAATATGATCATCTCAATAGATGCAGAAAAAGTCTAACACCAATTTATGATTTTAAAAAACTCTACAGAAAATTGGAATACATGGTCTTCATCTCAATCTGATAAAAGCTATGACAAGCTAACAGTTAACATCGTACTAAATGGTCAAAAAACTGAAGGCTTTCCCTCTGAAATCAGGAACAAGACAAAGGATGTCCTCTATACACACTCTCTTTAATTTTTTTTATTTTAAAGAGATTAAGACAAAAGAGGACATAACAAATATACACACTCTTATTCAATATACTTCTGGAAATATTAACTAGAGGATTTAGAAAAGAAAATAAATAAAAGGTATGATGCTAGGAAAGGAATAAGCTAAATTATCATCATTTGCAGGCGATATGATACTCTACATGGAAGAGCTCAGTAACTCCAACACTTCTAGCTATAATCACCAAATTCAGTAGCACAGACACAAAGTCAATACTCAAAAATCAATAGCATTCTTGTACACAAATAACAAACTCATTGAGACAGCAATTACAGAAACAACACTTTTCACAACAGCATCCAAAAAACAGCTCAAGCTATATAATGAGTTCAAGGCCAGCCTAAATTACAGAACAAGAGGGAGACTCTGTCTCAAATACAAGGTGAAAATATTACTCTTGGCTAGGAAGAACCAATATACTGGAAATGGCCATACTTCAACATTGTTATAGAGATTTAATTCATTCTCAGTCAAACCCATAGCAGGGCCAGGGGTTTAGCTCAGCGGTATAAGTGCCTGCTTGGCAAACGTGAGGTTGTGAGTTTGATCTCCAGCACCAACAAAACAAAACACCAATAGCATACCTCACAAAATTAAGAGAAAACAATCCTATAATTCATTTAGAATCAGAAGAGACATAGATTAGCAAAGGCAATTCTGGGCAAGAAAGGCAAGGCAGGGGATATCACAATTTCTGACTTTAAATTATACTACAAAGCTACTATCATTAAAAAAAAAAAAAACAACACAGTACTGGGGAAAAAAAAAACTTGAGGATCAATGGAACAGATTACAAAAATGCAGCACAAACAACTCCAAACACATTCAGCCACTTTATCTTTGACAAAGGAGCCAAACACTTGCAGTGGAAGAGAAAGAGCCTCTTTAATATGGTGCTAGAAAAACTGGTGCTCCAGATGCCAAAGATGAAAACTAGACCTGTATCTTTCACCATGCACTAATCTAAAATCAAAAATGGAACCAAATATATGAATATTAAAACAGAAACACTAAATCTGCTGGAAGATAGAGCAGGTAAAACTCTTGAAGACATTGGCATAGGCAGAGACTTTATGAAAAAAATATCAATCACACAGGAAATATCACAAAGAAACCACAATTGGGATCTCAATTTGCCAAAAAGTTTTTGCACAGCAAAAGAAACCACAAACACAGTGAAAAGACAACTCACAGAGTGGGAAAAATATTTTTCCAGCTGTTCCTCAGATAAAGAACTAATATCTAAAATATGTAAGATGCAAAAAATCTAGACCTCCCCTCTAAATTTAAAGACCCAGACCAAAAATGGGAATCTGAAATGAATAGACACCTCTCAGATGAAATAGAAATGGTAAATACATGAAAAAATATTCAACATCACTATTTATTCGAAAGATGCAAATTAAAACAACACTGAGATTCTATCTCACTCTAGAAAGAATGACTATCATCAAGAAAACAGTAACCAATGCTAGAGGGGCTGTGAAGAAAAAGGAACCCTTCTCCACCGTGGGTAGGAGCATAGACTGGTGAAACCACTGTGGAATCAGTGTGGCAGTTCCTTGAAAAACTAAAACTAGGGATTCCATTCAACCCAGCTATTCCCTTTCTTCATTATCTTCCCAAAAGAATTAAAAGCATCAAATAGCTTATAGCATACTAGTTTATAGCAGCACAGTTTGTAACAGCTAAGTCTTGGAAACCACCCAAATGTTCATCAACCAATGAATAGATAAAGAAGATGAAGGGATTTTTTATACAAAAACTACTCTGCCATAAAGAAGGATAAACAAGTCATTTATAAGAAAATGGATACACCTTGAGACCATACTCGTAAGTGAAATAAATCAGAAACACATGTTCAAACACCACATTGTTTCTTCGGTGTATGAAGCCAAAAGTATAAATAAGGTCCAAAATGTGTAACAGATATTGGGAAATGGGAAGAAAATGTTCAAAAAGAAGGAGAACAAGGGAGGGGGAGGGAGAAAGGAAAGAAGGGATAAAGAAAAAAGAGAATAGAAAGAAAAAATGGAAATAAAGCTTTTGTAAAGAGAGATTGAAGAGAAGGGAGGAGAGTGGGGAAAAAAAGCAGCAGCAAGATATATGATTTACAGGTACAAATTCCTGATGCGGAACATGATTATTATGTGTATCTAAAATGCATCGATAAAAAAAAAACCAAAAGCACCCAACAAGGCTGAAAATAAGCACTACAAGACTCTTCACTGATACAGCTGAAACAAAAATGACTGAAGGTAAGTGATGGATAGCTGGGGGTTCATTATACTACTCTGTAGTTGTATATACTTAAAGCTTTTTCATAATAAAAATTTAAAAATTTTCTGATCATGAGATGATGAAAAATGTCTATAGTTCCTACACAAAAGAAACACTGGGGTAAAAATAATGTCTCCAAAACAATCTTTAATATTTCTGAAGTGGGAAGTGAGGTTTGCTTGAGTTTGAACCACGGACCTGTGCATGCTAGGCAAGAGCACTAACACTGAGGTATATTCCCAAACTCCTATAAAACCAATTTAAACAAATATTTAGAATTTTTAATATTTTTATGTTCAAATAAAAATTGAATAGACTGAGCGGGTGGCATGTGCATCCCAGCACTGGGGAGGCGGAGGCAGGAGGACTGCTGCAAGATTAAGGCCAGACTGGGCGACAAAGCGAGCGCAAGGCCAGCCTGAACTGCACAGTGAAAAACTGCCTCAGGAAAAAAAAACTAGTCAATGAGCAAGCATAACTGTGAACAGTATTCAAACGTGGCCTTCCTGGGGAGGAAAGAGATTGGACCATAATTTTCCAGTAGGATTACTAGGATCCTCACAGATGAGAGTTTCTGAAATCAGTTCACAGGAATCATTTTTAGACCCTTATAAGGCCAAACTGTCACTCATTCTCTAACTTCTCTTACCTCCTCTTTCTGCATTCACAGCCGACTCCACTGAATCCACACATACTTCCATGAGAAATCCATTTGGTGCTCCTAAAATACATGGAGAACAGAATTACATGAAGGTACTATTCAGACGAATCTCTCACAAAAACAAACATTTTACTACCCAAACCTAAATGTCAAATGAAGCGAGTAGATAAGTACACTAGACACCATAAACGCAATAAAACATCATTTTAATTGATGTATAACTATGATGTACACAGACATGTGCAAGAAATCATACTGAGAAAAACAAAGAATGCCTTATTTTTCCTTAAACAATGACCTCATCATCACATCCTACCACAAATTCCAAAAGTGCTTCTCAACTCCTGTATAATGTTTAAACGTGATTATAGAGAATATGTGTTTAAAAGCAGGAATGATGACATATCCTGCTCCCACCACTGATTGTGTGATTCTAGACAAGTTTCTTAAGTTTCCTACATAACAGTAGTGGAGAGTAAATGACTAAATTCATGTAGAGGGTATAGTACCCACTAAGAATTTAAATAGTACAGTGTTAAATAGTACAGTGTAAACTATATATTGTCACCTCTTTATGTCTCCAGTTCTCTCCAATATTCATCCTCACTATTGCTTATGCCTTCTTGACCCACAAAATCCTAGATTCATCTTTAATGCTAAAATTTTCCAACTGTCAAGCCACATTTCTGTTTTTTTCCTCTCAAAATAGGAAATTCAGTTTCCCTTTTCAACACATTTAACTCTTCATCAGGTATATGTTCCTCCTTAAAACAGTATTTATTTTCTACCTCTTATTTTATTTTTTTGTCTTTTTCCTTTTTATCGGTAGGGGGGATAGAACTCATGACTGCCTGCTTGCAAGGTAGGCGCTTATGCCGCTGAGCTAAATCCCCAGCCCCTCTACCTCTTATTTATTTAGGTAAGTGTCAGATTACACTTAGCTGACATGAAGTTCCTAAGATCTTTATGTAAATCTTTATTATTACCTAAAGCAAGCAGTATTAGCACTGCTACAAGATAGTCACTTTATTTACTAAAAGCAGAATAATTGTAAATTTGTATACTGTTATCAAAAATTAGTTTTGAGTGCTTCCTGTAAGTTAAAGATGTAATTCATTTTTAATTTAAAATACTGTATATGTACTTCATACAATGATATATGGAAGAATGTTCACCACGTGGTGGTAACTGTTAGCAGATTTGGATTTTTACTTTCTTCTTTGGTTATATTGCTGAATTTAGCCACCCAATATGGTAGTTGTGTGTTTATTTTGTGGCCCTGGGGATGGAACCCAGGACTGATCTGAGAGCTTTATTACCAGCTCTTTAAAAAAAGTTTTTATTAGTACATTTCAGTACATAATGATTACATTCAATGTGTGAAATTAGGATATATACATTACCACATCTCAACTCTTTCCTCTTTCCCTCTACCTTCCCTTTTTTGGTCAGATTCAGTCACTCATTTATATTCTAAAGTTAATTATCACACATGCAGATCAACAGGTTAATAGGCAAAAAAATATGAAACACATAACTGAGAAATATATTAAATCTAGGTATTCTTTTAACATCATCCATGCTGGATTACAGTAACATTTTTCCTCTTTTTTAGCTTTTACCTTTGTTTTGCACTTTATTTATACATAGTTTCTAAACTAAGAGAAACATTCACTGTTGAAGCTTATGTGTCTGATTTATTTCACTTAACGTTATGGTCTCAAGTTGCATCTATTCCTACAAATGATTCAAGTTTATCCTCCTTGATGACAGAATAGTACTCCATTGTGTATAAGCAGCACAATTTCTTTATCCAATCAAATGTTAATGGACATACAAGCTGTGATTATCAACTGTGCTGTTGCAAACATGATAGTATGCATTCATAACTGTGTATGATGTCTTTAACTTATTATAGCCTTATTAATGTATTTTTTGAGAGGATCTTAGTTGCCCAGGCTAGCTTTGAACTTGCAATTCTCTTGCATCAGCCTCCCACATAAATGAGATTACAGGCATGCATCATTCTGCCAGGCTTTAATATTGCTTTTATAACGAAAAATTAAACCAATTTTTTAAAAACAAAAATCTATCACCAGCTGATATCTAACTGCAACTGTCATTTATTTAAAAGACTATTAGTACCAAATTGAAAAACTTGTTATTCTTAACCAACAATACTGCATATTATAGCTGCTATCCACTGCTACATCAGTGGAACTGGACCGTGCTGCACGGTTACTAGCTTCACAGAAGAAACCTGGCCAGCAGAAGGTGGACATGCACACAAAATGCAGTATGACAGCAGGCAGGGTAAACAGCTATCCTGAGAAAGTTATTTATAGAGATGAAAGATGAGGACATTTGCTTGAAGCAATAGTGCTTAAGATGATGGATTTAGATAACTTTGGGCCCCTCTGGGATCCTTTCAGTCTTTGGAATGAAAACCATTTTTATACCAATGTAAGACTTTGCCTTTTCTACTTTCATTCACAAATGGACGTTTCAGGAGGCTGCTTGACAAGATTGAATTTTAAAAGTTAGTTTTGAGAATCCAGCTGTTTTTCATTAGGTCATTAAGTAAATAGATTTACAAAACTAAACAACACTGCCACTTCTGTTTTTTCCTAGGAATATTTATTCTTCATTAAAGTTATTTGTTTATTAATAGGTTTATTATGGTGGGTTTTTTTCTTTTTTTTTTTTTTTTTTTTGGCTTTTTTGCCTTTTTTGAGACAAGGTCTCACTATGCAGTTCAGAGTAGTCTTGAGCTCACTTTGTAACCCTTGGTTTCTTATTCGCAAAGCTCCTCCTGCCTCAGCCTCCCGAGTGCTGGGATTACAGGTGTAAGCCACTATGCCTGCCTTATGATTATTCTCCACTTAATGATTTTGTGTTAATTTCTAGTGCGATCAAAGTGTATAGCTGTAAGAGTTTCTGAGGTTCTTGGTGATTTTCAGATTAAGGGTCCCGAGAACAAGAACTGTGAAGCCCGCTGCTGTGCAGAAACCGAGTTCACCAAGCAGGAGAGGCACGTGCTTGTCTCCAGCCTGTCACGTTACTTTGGCGCGGCAGAAAGAGCAGCCTCGGCTACTCTGCAGCGGGCTAGGCTGGCACCCCGCCCCGCACAGCTCCCGGGCGCTGCCTGAAAGGTACGCGGCCCCAGAGCGCCGGGCGCAGGGCCTCGTGTGGCCGCCGCACCGCGAGGCTCGGAGAACTCGAACAACTCGCTCGAGGTCGCCGGACCGCGCGTGTGGCGCTGGGTTCTGAACACCACCCCCACCCACCCGGGCAGCTCCGGGGCCTAGCAAGCTTTCCACGCTTTTCAAACCGCAGGGACAGTGCGGGGGCGCGGAGGAAACCTTCCGGGAAACGTGACGGCCACGGCCCGCACTGGTCCGCGGGGGAGCCGAGTCGGCCGACCGCCCCTACCCCGCCTCTTCCGCACCGGCCGTCCCCGACTGTATCCGCGCCAACTTCCGCTCCAAGGAGGTCCCCTGCCTCTTCATGCTCCACACGTCTTTCCCTTGGGCGCCTTCGATTTCCACTCAGAGTTTGAAAGGCCGTGCGCGCGACCCAAGAAGCGCCTCCTACACGGGGGCGAGCGACCTGCGCGTCCCCGACGCCCGCGCCCCCGCAGACCCTGCGGAAGCGTAGCCGCTGGCGCAAGCGCAATCGCCAGCCTGAGCAGGCGCGCGCCCGCGCGCGCTGCCTGACCCGGAAGTGCTGTTTCTTCAGGGAGCCTTGGAAGGGTATCCCGGAGCACTGGAGTGTACAGGTGGCGGCGGTGCGTTGTCAGTATGCAGCGGTTACTCCTTCCGCCGTTGAAGGCCGTGATGTGGAGCGGGTGTGTACGGCTCCTGGTTCCTAGGGTGGCTCCAAAGGCCCAGGTACTGCACCGCCATAGTCGCCGATCATAGAGGGAGTTGAGGATAAAGATCGTGGAGAGCCCCACTTCACGTTACCTTAGAGCCTACGTTTCATAACGCGTTTCCTTGTGTACAGAACGCCGTACGTTTAAATTCAATTCGCTAGTTTTATGTTACTGGCCATGTTATTTTCTGTGCCTCAGTTTCCTTATCTGTAAAATGGGAATGGCAGTACCTGTTCAATAAGGTTGTTGTGAGAAATAATATATATCAAAATTTTAGTACGAGGCAAAAGTTTAGTAATTTTTAACTGCGTGTTTGTTGAAAGCACCCAGTTAATCAGGAACTACTCTAAAAACCCATTGCACAGAAAATGAAGTTGAGGCCAGCTGTGGTGGCTCATGCCTGTCATCCCAGCACTTGGAAGGCAGAATGATTGCCGTGAGTTCGAAGCCAACCTGAACTATGTAGCGAGATTCTATCTCAAAAAAAAAAAAAATCGAGGCTTAATTTAATTGCCTGTCTAAAGTTACTCCGTTAATTAGAAGTAGGAAACTAAACAGATGTTTTGCAAATAGAGCCAGAAGACAGATGTATTCGCTTAACTAACAATTGGGAAGTTATTATGTGTTAAGAACTGGAAGAGAAAGATAAATATTACAAAGACTTCCTCCGTCACAGTTCATTTGTTAACTCTTTATTAAGGTTTTGTTATATAAGGAAACTGCCTTAGAAACAAAGGTAGTAGCAGGATAACAATTAAGACTGATCAGACCTTGCCATCCACAGCACCTAAATTAGTGCCAGAGGCAAATCAGTGTTTTAAGAACTCTTGATAGGGATTGTGCTCTGTATCTAGGTGTAGAGTGAGGAAAGTGTGCAGAGAACAGAAAGTTGATGTAGTGTGGACAGATTGGCATAAGGCAAGACTTGAGGCCGGAAATCCATTTTGGAAAGTTTGAAAAACAGTCCAAGTAACGACGATTTGTCAGCATAGTAATTGTGGAGATGCAGCCATTGAGTGTGGGTCGCAGCCTTTCCCTATTTATTCGGTTGTAATTGTCTGTTTTGGTCCTTAGTGTGGTTGCAGCTGTGGCATCAGGCGCCATCTGAGGCCAGGGCAATACAGCACCATTACTGAAGTGGCTTTGCAGTCTGGAAAGGGAACAGTGTCCCTTCCCTCAAAGGCAGCTGAGCGGGTAGTGGGCCGATGGCTCCTGGTCTGCAGTGCAACAGTGGCTGGAGCAGTAATTCTTGGTGGAGTCACTAGGTGAGTACTTTGCATATGAGTCAGATATTTGGGTTATCTTTAGAAGCACAGGATGCTTGATGGGGTCATCTAGTGTAGCTCTCATTTTACAGACGGAGAAACAGATTTTTAAAAGGGACCCTATCCATGGTTTTCCCTGCCATAGAACAGGTCAGTATGTTATTAGTAGGAGCCTGTTACAAAGACTGGTTTAAGTCTTAACTAGCGGCTTTGGATTGTGTATGTCGTCAGTGGATTCCCTTTCTCAAGTCACTTTCCCCCTCCAATCTCAATTTTATTTGAACTTTTTTCAGGTTCTTTGAATTAATCCCAATACATTGCAGTCATATCACAGTTGGTCCATATGTCTTAAATTTTCTTTTTCTTTTCTTTTTTTTTTTTGTCTTTTTCTTTTTTGTCAATATCGGGAATCGAACTCAAGACCACACACTTGCAAGGCAGGCGCTTATGCCGCTGAGCTAAATCCTCAGCCCTCTAAATTTTCTTTAACTGCAAACAGACTTTGTAGATGTATTGTTGTTGACACCCAAGACATTTTCCTATAGCAATCCACAGTCTTGATTTTACTGATTGCATTGTTTACTTAACATGTCCTATTCTACCTTGTGTGTCCTGTAAATAGGTCATTCTTGATTAGATTCAGATTAAGGATAAAGGAGTAAAAGCCTTAATAGGTGATTAGAACACTTACAAACATCTAGAGTCTCTTAAAAGGTTTCAGCAGCCATTGATTACTATTGCTTAGAGCCATTATTTCATTAAAGTTACAAAATTATAATATTTATTAGTTTGGTTTTAAAGAGAAACTTTCCCTTAGCAATTCCGTTATCCAAAGATAGTTTTCTTATAGAAAAGGCAAGATGAATACTTGATGTTTTCCTTTTATTTACCAATTTTCAAAATAATAAATTAGCCAAGCATGGTGGTACATTCTGTAATCCCAGCACTCAGGAGTTGAGGCAGGAGGATCACCATGAGTTAAGGCCAACCTAGGCTACATAAGCATGTTCACGGACAGTCTGTACTATAGAATGACATCCTGTCTCAAAAAACAAAAATTAAAATAATAATTTCGCAAGGTTTTCCAAAGGCAATAAAGTGTTTGAGTTTTTAAATATTCTAAACTCAAAGAGATTTAAGCACATTTGATGTTTTAGTCCATGGTGGTAATATAAATGATTTGTTTAAACTGTGCCATCTTTAATCAGTAGGAATCTCTTAAAATTAGTTCTAGTATTTTTTGACAGGGCCCTAGTTTTATCTTTGATGATTTCTTTGCTTTCTGGTATCATGAGGTGTCTAGGTTTATCTTGTATAGTTCTTGCCTAAAGCCTGAAATTAGCTTTTAGTTTAGGGATGCTGACTTCTGTCTCTCTGTCTCTTTCTGTCTCTCATTTGTTTATGTCATCAGTTTATTTACAAACGTACCTTGTATATCTTGTGAATTCAAGAGTTTGATCTATTTCCAAAGAGATTACACTTCTTGCGATAGTCTTTACATCTGTGAAAGGGAATGAATTTAAACATGCTTAGTTCTTAAGCGGTTGGTGTCTCACTATAACGAAAGGTGCCACAAATCCAGATCCAAGGTACGGAGTCATCATAGCCAGTAACTGCCGCTTGTTTTCCGCTGACAATGGAAGTTCTTCTCGGGACTCTCCTGCTAGTGGCTCTGTTGTACCAGAGGTTGTGAACCTCTGGATCACCTGGTTTTCATAAATTGTGTGTTTCCCATATTCTCTTCTAATTCCCCTGTTTCATTGTACCATAAGTACCATATAGCCTGCTCTAGGAAGCTATGTAACAACAGATTTGAATATTACTGTCTTTAAATCCCCAGAGAACCTAAACCTGTGTGCCTATAAGAAGTCTGTTTTCCCTGTGTAAAGAAAGTTAGTTATCAGAGAGAGTGGAGATAGAGGGGAGGGAGAAGAGAAGGTAAACACAATCAAAGCAAAATACATGCATGTATGTAAGTGTTGTAGTGAAACTCACTAATTTGTAAAATTAATAGGTGTTGATAATTACAGTCTAAAAAAGAATATTGGTTATGGCTGAAGGAGTAGTTCAGTGGTAGAGCACATGTAAGCCCCAGCACAAAAAAACAGAAACAGCTGTTCATGCATTTAGGACACATTTCCAGTAGTTTTGCCTGTCTGGTTATGCTAGTGGGGAGAATTGACTGAAAAAAATTGAGCAAGTAAGAGAGTAAAAGAATTGGTATCAAATGGCAGCTGTTTCAACTTCTAAGCAGTAAGAAAAAAAGCTATCAAAAGAAGAAACAATAAAATGGTGTGTTCACTTTTATGGGGGTTATGATCTACTTGTTGCAATAAACCATTTATGAATAATTTAGCATCATACACTCAAAAAATTACTTCTTGTTCTAAGGTTGACAGAGTCTGGCCTCTCCATGGTAGATTGGCATTTAATAAAAGAGATGAAGCCACCTACAAACCAACAGGAATGGGAAGCAGAATTCCAAAAATACCAGCAGTTTCCAGAATTTAAAATGTAAGTTGAGAAAAAACCAAGTAAATATCCACTTACCCATTTTTGGTCTTATTTGAAACCCTATAGAATGATTAGATTCCTTTTCTTTTTTCTTTGAGACATAGTATCACTATGTAGTCTGGCCTGAAACTCCCTCTGCAGCTAGACTGGTCTCATACTCAGCCCTCCTGCCTCATCTGCCCCAGTGCTGGAATTACAGGCATATGCTACTGTGCCTGACCGGATTCCTCTATTTCTTAATCTTTGGTTCAGTAATTAATCTGCTACCTAATCTCACGTTGAAGTCTAAACTTCTGAACTTACTAATGAAGAACAGGGCAGACCTACTAAACTGCAAGTCTAAGAATGTTTCTGCATTCCACATGGAAATAAGCATTAGGTGGATGTATCCCTTTTCTTTATTGTTGACTTCCATTTCACCCAGCTTGAATCATGATATGACACTGGCCGAATTCAAGTTCATCTGGTACATGGAGTACTCACACCGTATGTGGGGTCGTGTTGTAGGTCTTGCGTACATCCTGCCTGCTGCCTACTTTTGGAGAAAGGGCTGGCTCAGTCGTGGCATGAAAGGCCGTGTCCTTGCTCTCTGTGGCTTAGTCTCCTTCCAGGTAAGATTTATTCAAGATTGGAAACTAGAGATGCTTCAAGGAGCTTCCTAGCTGGCATTATTTCTAAGGAAGTAATCTTTGAAGCACTGTAACAGAGTGGGTAAGGGTATGCATTTTAGTGTCTCAGGCTTGACTTCAGGCTCCAGCTCTGCCATTTAGTAGGGCAAGTTACCTGACTTTTGCTAACTGTCATTTCCTTACTATAAATGCAGATAATAATAGTAACTGTTATTTAGAATTTGTAGATATTAGATGGTAATATAGTAAGCATTTATCTGAGTGCCTGGTGTCAGTAAATACTCAAAAAATACATATTCATGTATCATAAGTATAGTTTATTCCCCTCAAAGGTCCCCTGGGTTTTTTCCTTTTTTCCAAGAGCGTAGAACCCCAGAAGCAAATAGGAAAACCAAAAAAGAAAAACACCTTGTGGAATAGAAGATCTTAGAATACGGATTTGCCTGAGAAATATTCAGATGTAAATAGTGTTTAAAATCGTTAAGTTAAATTCATTTAAAAGAAGAAAGCTCTGAAAGACTTCCACATTTAAGAAATTGGGTAAAACTGAGTGGCAAGAAGAGGAATTATGAGAGAGTATCAGTTTGATCAGGAAGAAGTTAGTTGGTTAACTTAATGGCAAGATAATGAGCCAATTAGGGATTAAGGAGGCAATAGGAACAGTAAGTTACACATTAATAAAAATCTAATAGAGCTAGATGTGGTAACACTGAGACAGGAGGATCTCCATTAGTACGTAGCAAGACCCTGTCTCAAAAAACCAAAAGAGAGAAAAAAGGTCTAATAGTAACTAGGGGAAGTTAGATAAAACAAAATGAAACCTCGTGTTTTAAAATTAAATATTAAAAGTAGATTTGCAAGAAAGGAGAAATTTAAAATGTCAAAGTTATGAAAGGAAGAAAAGTTAGGGCTGGTGCATTATACTATATATGCCTTCATCTTCCCATGTTTTATGCAGGGTAATTAGAATTGCCAATGTAATCTTGAAGGGGAAAGAAATACCCAAAATAATTTCCGGGGTGTATATATTTGGAAGAAGTGGGAGAATCCCAGCTCTTCAACTTGATTCTACTGGTTTAGGAGAATGAGTATGAAAGAATTGTACTATGTTTGATATAATTGGAATAGGCAGTATAACAGATTGAAAAAGCCAGTTACAACATAGAATCATAAAATATGACACGATGAAAATAATCTAAATTTAGACATGTACTTTCATTGTCATATTTTTTTCAATCTAGAACTGAGGCTTTACTTTGAGTCCCCAGATTAGAGTTCAACTTCATATTTCTTGTACTTACCTAAACTGTTTTCTAGTTTTATTTCCCTTAAAAAGAAAAACGTGGGAACTCAGATATTTGCAAAGCAATCTGTGTGTAAGCCTTACTTTATAGTATGACCTCCCCCTAAAGATTTCTTTGTTTCTTTTTTTTAAGACAGGGTCTTGATATGTAGTTCAAGCTGGTCTCGAGCTCACTATGTAGTTCAGGCTTTGAACTCATGATGATCTTTCTGCCTCAGTCTCACACGTGCTGTGAGGACGGGTATGCATCATTATACCCAGCTCCAAAACTTTTCTAATTGCCTTATCTTCACGTGACAATAACAGTTTTTAAGCAGTTACTTTAATTAAGCTTTTTCAAAGCAAGCAATGTAGTTTTCAGAGTCAACTCTTTATCGTTGGTTTATATGTCAGATTTTCTCAACTATGTGTAAAGTTTTGCATACAGTGATAAACTTTTGTACTTTTTATATTTGGATTATAGTTCAATAAAACATTAAATAGTGGTAAAGTACTGATGGTGCCAAGTATGAAACTGTGGGTGGGTCATGATTCTTGGAATATGGAAAGGTGAGGTCTAGAAGGGAATAAAACAGAATAGTTTCAATTTAGATTTGCCCCTCTTCTTCTGGATTCTAGGGTCTGTTGGGGTGGTACATGGTGAAAAGTGGATTAGAAGAAAAACCAGATTCCTGTGACATCCCTCGGGTCAGTCAGTACCGCCTTGCGGCCCACCTGGGGTCAGCCCTGGTTCTTTATTGTGCCAGCCTGTGGACCTCCCTCTCCCTGCTGCTTCCTAAGCACAAGGTAAAAATCAGTCTGCATGTTTACTACATCTGTACAGACGTGAGCAAGAAATTCTGATTCTAACAAGAAATTACAAGGCAAACTTCAGATTCCCTTAAAGTAGCATCTGTCAGTTTTCCAGAAACAAGATTGTACTACAGTTGAGAGATGTATTGAACATTGGGACTTAAGATAATTTTGAGACTGCAGATGCAAAACATATACTTACGTAGTTTTTGAGCGAGAACAATTAAAGGGAAATTAGCATAGGAGCTGAATTTTTTTTTTTTTTTTTTTTGGTACCAGGGATCAAACTCAGGACCTTGTGCTTACCAGGCAAGCATTTATGCCACTGAGCTAAATCCCTGGCCCCAGGAGCTGAATACAGTAAAATATACATAACAAATTGCTCATTTTAACCATCTTTAAGTATAAGTTTATTAAAGTGAAATATATTCACAATATATTCACAATATTGTACAACCAATCTTCAAAAATTTTTGATGCCCCTTAAATAATAACTCCCCTTTTCAATTATAAGTTATTATCTCTATGAATTTGATTACGCTAGATACCCCATATAAGTGGAATAATACAGTGTCTTTTAGTGATTGGCTTATTTCATATATGTCCTCCAAGTTAATGCATGATGTAGCATGTATCAGGAATTGTTTTTTATGGCACAATAATATTCTATTGTACATATATATGACATTTTGTTTACCCATCTGTCAGTGAACATGTTACTTCCATTTTTTAGCTATTGAGGATAATGCTGTGAATATGGGTGTGCAAAGTATCTTTCTGGTTTTAGTTCTTTTGGATATGTATCTAGAAGTGGAATTGCTGGATCATATAGAAGCTGAGTATTTTGTCTGCACTGTCTATTGGAGAAGGTGCAAATACAAATTTTAGCGGAAAGGTGAGGAGTAATAATAAGAGACATCCCAGACATTTTAACTCTGACTCACAGAAGGTGGGGGTGTAGATAAGGAAGGCAAGGCAGGCCAGGAAAGATCTGTATCTAAACTTTTGGGGGTGTACATATTATATTGTTTGTTAAGTAGGGACCTGCCATTCAAATTTCACATATTAAACCTAACCAATTTTGTCTAAAAGTTTTCTGTATGCTGATTTTCCTTTAGGAAGGTTAAGAGTTTTTACATTTTATACTTTAATATAGAAAAAAGATATGATTATTTTTGAAGCCATTGTTTATAATAGAGATTTCAACCACACCTCTACAGAACACTGTTTTCTAGTATTTTAAAACAGTGATTAGGGCTGGGGATGTAGCTCAGTAGTAGAGTGCTTGGCTAGCATGCACAAAGACCCAGGTTTAATTCCCAGCACTAAAAACAAAAAACAAAACATATAAAGCCAGTGATTATTAGATTAGGTATTGAGATTATGGGTTAACCTAGATCATTGATGGTGAACCTTTTATAGCTTTCAGTCAAACAGCCCACCACATGTAGGTTTGCTACCACTAACAAAGATCAACTCTTCATGGATGGAACCATAGCTATTTGGATCTAGGTACTTGGATCCCAGTAGGAATTTGATATATTAGCTTGGCAGTCATCACCAAAGAGAAGTCAAATGGTTGAAACATTTAATAGACTTTCAAAGCCAAACTTCAAAAATATATCATCTGTGTCTATAGCTTTTATTTTCTGACAACCCATTCTTTTTATTTCAGTCTCCATAACCTGGCTTCCACTCACTGCTCTATATACACTAATGCACACATAACAACATACTTAGGTATACATACCTACACATACACTTGCTGAAATTATACTTTTTTTTTTTTTTTGAGACAAAGTCTTGCTACGTACTTCAGGCTGGGCTTGAACTCACTATGCAGCCTGGGCTGGCCTTGACCTCATGGTGATCCTCCTGCTTTAGCCTCCCAAGTGTTTAGGATTATAGGCATGTGCTCAATTCCTGCCTGGCTTTCCTTTCATTTTTTTGTTTTGCTTTGGTTTTGGTTTTGGGTCTGGGTTTGTTGTTGTTGTTTGTTTGTTTGTTTTTTTGAGACAAGGTCTTGGCTCTGTAATTTAGTCTGGCCTTAAACTTGCTGTGTGGCTTAAGCTGGCCTTGAACTCAAGGCAGTTTTCCTACCTCAGCCACCTGAGTGCTAGGATTATATTGGTGCACCAATAACATTAATATACTCTCCTGTCATATCTTACTAATGAAACGTAACTTTTCATATTCTAGATTATAAACCATTTGAAGGCACAACTTAACTCCTTTGTATCTGTGTAATGACTTGTTCAGAAAGTTAATAATTGTTGATGCACTGATAGACATCGGAAGTTGGCTATAATAGAAAGAAAAACAAATTTTGCCTTTACCAAAAACACCATCTAGATACTTTACACAATTCAGATTTTGCTTGTATTTGCTAAACACTAATACCACATGCAACATGAAAAGCCAATCCTGTATCTTAACTTACATCATTTCAACATGGAAAAGCATTGTTCCCCTGAGTATTATTTGAGTACCTTCATGCCAAGCAAGACAGGTGGCGGTTTCTGCCTCTACAAATCTTTCAAGGTGGTAGACAAATTTGAATGCATAATCATAATGAAATATACATGTTAGAACAAGAATATCTGTTGAGTGTACTTAGCCTAGTTTAGAAACCAATGAAATTCTGACCTTAAATTGGTACCTGTGTTTGGCCTTTGAGATCTTTGCTGTCTCTCCTAGTCCCTGCAATCCAGTTGTGATTTTCTTCCTTATTTAGTTACCTGAAACCCGCCAACTCGTATGGTTGAGACGATTTGCTGGTGGAACAGCAGGTCTAGTATTCCTGACAGCTCTCTCAGGTAAGACTCTTCATCAAACATGATGTGGTTTTGTTTCACTTCCAGGTAGGATCTCTTGCCTAATGCTTTTGCCCTTCCTCCCACATCTTCCCATTTCATACTTGTTTTGTTCCCTCCATCTTCACCATATTGAGCATCTGCCTAGATCAGCCTGTCCAAACTCAAAGCTTGGCTTCACCACCTGTGACCTGAATGACCTTGGCAAGATACAGACCTCTTTGGGCTTCAGTGACCTCATTTGTCAAGTGGAAATGATGACTATACTATGAGTAATATAGCAATATATATGACCTTCTTAGAATAGGACCAGGCATGAAGCAAAAGCTACATAAAGGTTAGCTGTTAGTGTGCTGTAACATTGTAATGATTACACTATACCATGATAGGTTAGACAAAAGGCCTGCCTTTGGAGATGATGAAAAGTAGGGAGTTCATTGGGGCAGAAAGACCTGTAGAGGTTTTTCACAACTTCACTTTCGCCTCTGCCACTTTAGAACTGCATAATAGTATCCATAGTTCTATTTGGTTAGTCAAATTAATTAAGATGGAATAGAATCTATTTATTTAGTCATAGTGGCCACATTTTGAGTGCTCATTGAATTGGGCAACACAGCTTTGAATGAAAACCATATTTATTTAAACCAGTGATCCACCCAGCCTTTTCTTGTCCTCTTTGTCTTTCCGTTTTTTTTTTTTTTTTTAAACTGGGAATTGAACTCAGGACCTCGCACTTGCCAGGCAGGCACCATGTTACTGCGCTATACCTCTCACCCCTGAGAATATGACCATGTAAGTGGCCATTCACAAAAATGAGGAGTGTGATCCAAACTTCGAATCTTCCTTGATAATAAACAATGACTCAGTCATCCATTAACTCACAGATGCCCTTTTGTGTTTATTCAGGATTTAATGTACAATTTTGAATTTTATCTAATTCTTATGTTCATTTAACAAACACCAAGTACTTGGGGAAGACAGGTAATGCACAATAAAAATATAATGTGGGCTGGGCGTGGCAGCATGTGCCTATAATCCCATTACTTTGGGAAGCTGAGACAGGAGGATTGCAAATTGAAGCCAGACTAAAAAACCTAGCAGCTTAGCAAAACCCTGTCTGAAAAATTAAAAATTAAAATTCAAAAATGGTTGAGGGAGGTAGACATGGTGGCACATGCCTGTAATCCAACCTTGAGAGGGAGAGGCAAGAAAATTACCACAAAGTTCAAGGCCAGCCTGAACTACATAATGAGACCCTGTCTCAAAACACACAAACAAACAAAAGGCTGGGGATGTAGCTCAGTGTGAAGTCTCTTGATTTAATCCCTAATTACCCCCCCAAAAGTCAAATACTCAATGCTATAAAGAAAAATAAAGCAGGATGAAGGAGTACAGTGAGGCAGAGTAGAAGAGTGCCATTTTACATAGGACATCAAGAGAGATCTCTTCAGTCTGGTGACATTTGAACAGAGCCATGAGGAAATGAGGGAAGAAATTCTCAGAGGAAGAGTTATGTTTAAAATATATCAAGAATATTGAGTGAGAGTGGGAGGGCATCAGAGTCCTTGGGGACTTTTCCCAGAATAACATAGCTCTCCTTACAGAACTTCTAAAGGAGACGTGCAGGAGTCTTAGGTGGGAATGTGTGCAACAGTTGCTGAGTTAGGTTTTTTTTTTTTTTAAGTTCCCATGGTGATTGTGATGTACACTCCCAATTTGAGAACCCTTGTTACAGAGCTATTATCCTCTTTTCTAACTTTGAGACTTTTTCTGTATCCTCTCATTTTAAGTCTCACTTACCTTGGAATACAGGGGCTTTTGTGGCAGGACTAGATGCTGGTCTGGTTTACAACTCCTTCCCCAAAATGGGAGAATCCTGGATCCCAGAGGACCTCTTCACCTTCTCCCCCATCCTGAAGAATGTTTTTGAGAATCCCACCATGGTGCAGTTTGATCATCGGGTTCTGGTAAGTGTGGCTAGCAGTTCCTGCTGCTGGTCACAGGTTTGAATTCAGTGTTGTGAAGCACCGATGGCAGTAGTCATTGGGCAGGTACTGTATTTCCTGTTCATTCTTAAGCTTGAAAACCAGTTTTGGTCCTCATTATACCCCTTCCACATATTGTAGGGAAGGATATTCTATGCAGGATATTGCAAGCTTCTTAAAGCTTAAATATGCCTTTCCTCACCTGGCAAGTGATAACCTCCCTTAGTCCTGAGCCCAACTGGACAGTCCTTTCTGTAGTTGTGAGGTTGAGTAGAGAAAAGTGCAGAAATGTGGTTGCTACACATACAGTTATCAAGAACTCCAAAGAGCAGGAGCCTCACCAATACTTTATTTAAGCTGATGGGTACCTGAGGTGTTGCTGTGGGCCTGGCATGGTAACATAGGCATAGCAACTGGGCATGATGAATTGGCACAACACAGAGAAGCAGTGGTACTAATGTGTTGCAGTGATGCAGAGCAAAGTGCTGGGTAACAAGGCTGTGTCGTGGGAGGTGGACTTGATCCAAAGATATTTCAAAAGATCAGAGTTAAACTAGGCTGTTAGGAATAATGGTGAACAATTAGTGAAGATCCCAAAGTTTCTTCTGCACCATGCTTAAGAAACAACCAACAGACCGGGCATGCTGTCACATGCCTATAATCCCGGCACTTGGGAGGCTGAGGCACGAAGATTGTTACGAGTTCGAGACCAGCCTGGGCTACAAAGTGTGCTCAAGGCCTGTCTGAACTGCATAACAAGACCCTGTCTCAAAAAGACCAAAAAAAAAAAAAAAAAAAAAAACAACAGAAGTGGGACCACGGGAGTGAGTTTTGAGCTAGTGTGAAAGAGGCTGTTAGATTAAGGCTTGCTGAGTGTGAGATGGTAGTACATCTAAAAAGGTTCAGAGGAATCAGCCAAGAGGTCTAAGGCTAGAGCACATTATCTTGTGTGGGCTCAGTACCTACCTCTGCATAGGAGACATGAGTAAAAGTTTGGTAGAAATTGTCATTGTGGACAACTCTGCAAAACAAAGAGTGAGACAGGCATGGAAATAAGGTAGGAAAACATTCTTCTTGACATCATGGACAAGGAAAAGAGACTCTAACGCCAGTTCCAGACCCTTGTTCCAACAGGGCAGAAGTGAAAATAAGATTTAAATCAGTTTTTGGCAGCAGCTAGTAGCACTGTCACCTAGTCCAGTCCTCATGTGTGCTTTAATAATGTAAATTAAAATTAGCCATAAGGCTCTTTTAAACAATGATTGAAAAAGTGAAGGCCACTTTGCTGGAAATGTAGAATCAAGTCTGAAATAATCCATTTTTAACTTCTAGTATTACAACAGAACAGTACTGTATTTTACCTCTGTAAATGTAAAATACCTTTGCCTACTTTATGATACAATGCTTTATCAGAGCTTTTTCAGTGATAACTGCTCTAGAATGTTCTTTCCAGATGATGACTGAAAAGCTAGTAAAAATACTACAGGTTACCAAAACAGTAACAGAACTTTGTTGGTTTTTTTTTCTCTTAAGAAATATGCTGGATATCTATAATTTTGCTTAGATGACTGCAGAACTTGGGAAAGTTGTTGCTTATGATGCATAATATACTGCTATTGGTCCTTTTATATAAATATAAATACACCTTGTATACATACACATATATGTATAATTTATGTATAATTTGAAATTTTAGAAACTATACTCTCAGTGTTGGAAAAGGTATCCCAGTTTACAGTGCTGAGTTGACATTGTGCTAAATTAACAGCCATACTGGTGTGGGTTTGATTGCAGAAGCTAATACAGTATTAACAAAATAATGAAAAAAGTGAGGGCCACATCTAGGGTGACACCCACAGTGGAAGGTGAGTTAAGATCATTGAGAAGAATGCATGTGTATAAAGTGGAATGCACAGAATCTTAGGAGGAGCCCTAGGTAACACTGACATTGTAAGTTGCAAGAAGAGACCAAGGAGGAGTGAGTGAGGTATAACTAGCTGTAGGGTGGTGCTGTGAGCAGTAAAAGAAAGTAGTTTATGGTTGCTCGGTGCTTCCAGAGGAGAGACGTGTAAATTTGGTGGAAGTCCTGGCATGGGAGTGAAGCTCAGCTCATGAAATGAGTCTTTCTTCCCCACAGGGAATCACGTCTGTCACTGCTGTTACAGCACTTTACTTCCTGTCCCAGAGAATCCCCCTTCCTCGACGGACTAAGATGGCAGCAATGACGCTGCTAGCTTTGGCGTACACACAGGTATAAATCACTTCTGTTTGGTCTGTGGCATCCCCTAAACAAAGTGAGAAAGTGACAAACTGAAACAAAGTACTTTTAATATTTATAATACATTAAAAGGTTAATACCAAGAAACTAGCTGTTACCAATATACTATTCTCATGAGGAATGATGGCTAATAAACATGAAAAGCGTGTTAGCTTCACTCATGATCAGAAAGGAGAAAATTGAGTATCAATTTGGGAAGAAATGAAGGAAAACAAATGGAGGAAATGATCAGGAATTGAAAAATGGATACCTTTATTCCTGGTGAGTGTGAGTTTGTATAACTTTTTCAGAGGGAAATTTGGCAGTATCATTTAAGATGGTAAATACATAACCCTTTGGCCCATCAGTTGGCCCCTAGAAATATTCTAATGTATACCTAATACTTTGGGTTTTAAGTTGTTTTTTGTTTTGGTTTGGGTTTTTTGGTACTAGGGATGGAACACATGCCCTTGAGCTTTCCGTGCAAGCTCCCTGCAGGCCCTTACACCGCTGAGCTAAATCCCGGCCCCTGCCTAATGCTTTGTATAAGGAATTCATTACAGACTTGTGATAATAGAAAACCGGGAACAATTTAAGTATAAAATAAACAACCATGATAAATCTACTTTGGAATAATGTGCAGCAGCTTAAAATAAGATTTTAAGATATCAATTCTTAGGTTAAAAATAAGTGACAGAACAGTGTATTTAACAGCAAAAAAAAAGTGTATATCACTGTAAACAGATACGTAAAAACACAGATGTGTAGAAACTGGTAATGGTAAGTACCTTTGGGGAACTGAGATGACATAGAGCTGTGGTGGCAAACCTAAGGCATACTCATCACACCAGGCTGTTTATATTATTGAATGCTCTAATAATTCACCATCACTGGTAGGAAGATAATTAAGGGAACTTGGGGTTTATCTATCCTGTTTGAAATTTCTTTATTGTAATTATATTTGCATGATGTACATTATCTGTTTAATGTTCTGTTAGGAAAATGTAGAGGTTATATATTTGGTTATCCATGCCCACTCATTTTCAGTCTAAATATGTGGTTTCTACTTTTCTTACTGGTATCTTTCCTCTATACAGGTGATCTTGGGCATTAGCACTCTGCTGATGTATGTTCCAACTCCTCTGGCTGCCACTCACCAGTCAGGCTCTTTGGCTTTGCTTAGTGGTGCCCTTTGGTTTATGAATGAACTACGAAGAATTCCCAAATAATTTTAAAGATCAGCTTCTTAGGACTGAAACTGCTTTTGAGAGCTCATCAGAGAACACAACTTGGGTTTTCCTGTGAGGATGACAGGCCAAGTGGTTTCCAAATTGGTCACATGATTTAAAACTGTTTGCCTATTTTGAGATAGTCACTGGCTTAAGAATGTTAAGTATGGTTAAGAGATTCCTTTTTAAATGTTATACTTCACATTGAAAGTCGAGTTTATAGGAAAAAATGTCTACTTCTTATTAGCCTTATCTCAGTTTTTTGGCAGGCTCGTGGTTATACAAGCATGGTTTCTGTTCCTTGAGCCAGTGTCCTCCTCACTAGGGTCCACCTGTTGGAGACAGTAAGATAGCAGTTCCCCAGTCAAGAGTTTATACTTTTTTTTTTTTCCATTGGTACCGGGGATTGAACTCACAACCACCTGCTTGCAAGGCAGGTGCGTATGCCGCTGAGCTAAGTCCCCAGCCCCTAGAAGTAAGGTTAAGAGGTTTTTTTTTTTTTTTTTTTTTTGTCTTTTTCCTTTTTATCGGTACCGGGGATTGAACTCACAACTGCCTGCTTGCAAGGCAGACACTTATGCCGCTGAGCTAAATCCCCAGCCCTAGTCAAGAGTTTAAACTGTAGCTCAGCACTGGCCTGTTGCTAAAGTCTGGGGTTATCAGATCTTCTTGTTTTGTTTTTTTTTTTTTTTTAAGAGCCAAGTTTTAGATTTTTATATGGAAACTCTTAATTAAATACAAACTAATTTCAAGTTTTTAAAAATGTTAACATGACCTGTTTGTAGTATCTGAACTAAATGATCTCAGTTCCCTTTCAGCTCTTAATTTCAGTAAGACCCAGTGTACATTCTCAGGTGTTCTTAACAAATAAAGATAGATAGTTGTCTGTGATGTTCCAAAAGTCCCAGCACTTGATGGGCTTATTGTTATGCTTAGACATAATTCCCAATTTCTGTCACATTAGAATCTTTTAGAAATCTCAAAGCCCAAACTTCACCCAAAATAATTAAGTTACAGCTGGGAACAATAGGAGGCTGGATTTCAAGTTTTCCAAGTGATACCAATGTACATATAAGTGGGGACCACTGGCCATTGTTTCACAGCCTGCTTACCTTAGAAAGTTCTAACCATTCTATTCCTTCCAAAATTCCATCTACTCTAGCTCACTTACTGTGCATAACAGTATATTATCTCCTCTAGATAATAGAATTCCTTAAAGAAAAGGAACTGCAGTTACTGGGGCAGGTTCTTGATCTCCTAACCCTGAAATCCAGGTTCTCCTTGGTCAATAACTGAGACAGCAGTGTGAGCAGTATGATGCAACCCAAAGAACAGAAGACTAATGCTTTTACAGTTTAAAAAGTGGCAACCTATGAGTAAGTTCAAGGTTCACTTTACTTCATTTTTGTTTTATTACAGTTGAATAAGTTTGGAAAAACATCTTATATTTAGCTATGTAACTACATTATGCATTCTGTGAGCTCCTAGTGAACAGAAATTGTCTTATTGTGTTATTCCCAGAGCCAGTAGACACATAACTGAGTGGAATGATTGTATGAATTAATGAAAAACTATTACTGATTGATATCTCAAATACCTCTGTAAAAAAAAAAACCTCTGTAAATCACATACCTGTAGGTTTAAATGATTTTCCCTTAATATTTTCAAAGGTCTTTCAACAATTCTTGTTAAATATGAAGGAAATTAAAACATGTTTAACTCAGTCAACTCAATTTTTTCTCTTTGACATACCAACATTGACATATGCTGTCCACTGTGGCAGGGATAATGATTTGCAATTGTCCAGTGATGCTGAATGTAAAGATAACATTGATTGATACTGGTTTTAGGGAACCATTACCTGGAGCTATTCTTTTGGTCTTGGGATGAGTGGTTGATTAAATATAAGCATTTGTAACACATATACTTGTGTCCCTGCAATAAGGGTGACTGTGTCACCTCTTACACGCATTGAATGTTTTTCTCAACACTGACATGATGTCTACCAGTGAGAATTTTAAGGATTATTCAGCAAAAGTATTCTTACTTAATGTTACCTGAATCACTAAGACCAGTCTTCTCAGCCTCTTCCTTTAAGCAATGCAAATAGGCAGCCTTTGGTCTTTAGAAGTGTAGTAGCTGAGCATGGTTAATACAGCCTGTGATCCTAGCACTTGGGAGACTGAGGCAGGAGGATCACTGAGAGTTCAAGGCCAGCCCTGGCTACATCATAGTGAGTTCAAGGAACAAAATAAAGTGTAATGTCCACTTGTGGATCTTAATAAAAAAGATGCCTGTCAGCATGCTTTGCAGAGGCTGTTGCTCAAGGTAGAAATGATAATGATGTAACATTTACCTCAGCTTCAACTTAATGTGAACTATGGAATGAAAATTTCAAATACAGTATAACAGAAATATTAGAAATTAAAGTATTTGGGATCCCTCCTGACAAAGACTTATGAAACTGATAAGGTCCAGACTTTACCACGAGTGGGCCAAAATCTGGTAGATGCTACGTGGTAGGGAATGTTGAGGAAAGTACCAGGACTACCTTAGAGTGGTGCTGTAGGGATCTGGTATGTCCCAAAAAGGGCTCATGTGTGTTAAAGACTTGGTTGCCCCGGGGACACTCTTGTGAGGTGGTAGGGCCTTTGAGAGGCAGGGCTTCAGTCGGTTTGTAGGTCACTGAGATCATAGCAAAAGGGATTGCAAGATTCCAGTTGCTTCCTTACCTATGCCATGAGGTGAGCGATTTTGCTGCACCACACACTCACACTGTAATGTGTTAACTCACCACAGCCCAAAGCAAAGGGTACCACTTGATCTTGGGCTAGAACCTCCAAAATGTAAAGGCAAAATAAACATTTTCCTTTTGTATTAATTATCTCAGGTATAGGATTATAGTAACAGAAATTTGACTGACAAGTGGAAGAGTAGTAAGTCACCAGAGAAGTGTTCCGTGGCTGTCCCACCTAAAAGGGCAGGCTCAGGAGCAGCGTGTCTTAGGCTTACCTGATAGCATTCATGAAGGGCTGTAAGCATCCTGTGATTCACAATACATTCAACTTTGGTTTTTATAAAAATAACAGACAAAGATGGATCATATAATTAAAATGAAAGCTCTTATAACATGAACAATAATTGTTTTACAGATAAAAAGATCTCCTTATTGCTTAATTTCCAAAAATCAAAATGATCTGCTGGTATATTATTTTTTCTGTATCCATAATAACATTGACAAACTGGGAAATAATGAATTAGGGAAAAAGGAAATATGTAATTATACAAAGACAAGACAATCAGGCTTAAGATGAGGCTTCAACAAGGTACTACAACTTTTCAGCCTAGATCTTCAGGGGAAAGAAAACCAACTACAAAACCATAAGAAATAAAGATCATTACCTAGAAGTATTTGATTTCAGATACAGTCACTGTTTACAAAAATGTTTGCCATTGTTATTCTCTGTTAATGAAGAGAGCCAAAACTTGGTTTTGAGTTATTTTTAAACTTTTTTTTTTATAAAACCAATGAAATGCTCAAAAGTTTGACAAATGTATATTGTCCTAATGGCAAGACAGTGCATAACTCAGAGACTATTTTGGGAGAATCTTGAGATATCTTAATTCTGCCTTAATTCTTAATCCCTACTGAAATGAAGTTATACCGAATGCTATAATGAAAAGGGAAATTAGTTTCCAAACTAGTTTTAAAGACAAAAGAACACACTCAACACTTTTTGTAAGAAACTCTGAAAATTGCCCCAAGAATTACAAGCAAGTTTCTCAGGTATTACATGTTTTTTTCTTTATGTGGTCCTGGGGGTTGAACCCAGGGACTCATGCATATAGACAAATGCTGTAGGTATATTGCAGTCGTTTTGGTTTTTGTTTTGTTTTCATGTAGGATCTTTCTATGTTGTCCAGGCATCACCTCAAATCTCAGTCTCCTGAGATTACAGGCACACATACTGTCATGCCTAACAGCCATTTATTTATGTCTTCATTTTCATTGTAACCATCACATTAATTACTTGCATGCTGTGGTTAAGAAAATTGTGCAAAATTAAGCAAATTTTGCCTGAAAGAAACATCTACAAGTTAAAAGCATTAAAAAGACATACAGAAACTAAAACAGACATGATGAAAAGTTAGTACTTTTCTTTTAAAGACAAGGTTTTGCTATGTAGTTCATGCTGGCACTGAACTCATTGTATAGCCCAGGCTAGTCTCAAACTTATGGTAATCTTTCTGCCTCAGCCTCCCAAGTGCTAGGATTACTGAATTTTGCTACCATCCCCAGCGACTATTTCTAAGTATTCCTTTCAAAGTGAGCTTTTTTTTTGTACTGGGGATTGAACTCATGGCCTAGCACTTGACAGGCAGGTGCTTATGCTGCTGAGCTAAATCCCCAACTCAAAGTGTATTCTTTAATGTGTGCAAAGCAGTCATAAATGAAGAGCAGAATCCTTTATAAAGATTGAGCGGTTACTTGCAGCCAGCTGTACTATATATTAACATATACTCATGGGTTTTGTCAAGGAGTATTCCATTGTGGCTGTCAAAATGTTGAGGGATGTATATATAAAGGAGAAACTTGGGGTCCAGGAGGTTGCTCACTGTGACTTTGCATATATTACAGCTGCTCTAGTCCTCAATTACATTATCCATAAAAATCAAAAAAGGTTGACCAGATGATCTCTTCACACTCCAGCTTTCAAATTTCCATCCTGTCTTGTCACAGGTCTCTGCCATGTTATGATGTATCAGGAAAACTCAGCAGGTGCCAAGCATATGCTAGCCCCATGCTCTTGACTTCTCAGTCTGTAAAATCTTGAGCCAAATAAATCTCTATTCTTTAAAATTAAAAATGTAAAACAAAACTTTTCATCTTCTGAAATTTCCTTCTAGTGGTTACTGTTGGAAACTCCATTCCCATCAACTGTAATGTCAGGGGTGATGAATAAAACAGAAAGCTGTTTCAGGCTGATCGTCTAAACCAAGGGCCAAAATTTTCTCTGAAACCACATGACTGTTCATCTATCTATCTTCTCTTCTGCTTTTAGTTCCTTGTCTTGTCTGGCCACTGTTCTTATAGACTAGGCCTGAGCCATAGAGAACAACTGACCTCTGTGGGGTACAGCTAGTAAGTCACAACGCCAGGACTAGAGTCCAAGTAAACTATTCATTAAATACAAATATTTCTTCTCTTAAATGATATTATCCACTTGTCTCAGCCAAGAAAATCCAAAACACAACACTCTGAAACTGTTGGGTGTGTCAGGCGGAGCATCTGTTTAGATAATAGTGGTAAGTGAAGTTACTTGATTGCAAAAATGTAAATATGAATGCAGTAACAAGTGTTAATGGCTAAAAAGATTAGCTTAGTGCATAGTAGGCTTTCAATCAACATTTCAGTAATCTCTACTCAAAGTCTTAAAAGAATCTTACAGACAGAACAGGAAGGGGCAGAATACTTTGGATAACATTTGGAAGATAAATACAGTTTTGGCAGAAAATAATTATAATTCGCCAACTCAAAGAAATTCAGTTCAAGCATATAACATATAGGGAGAAAGAGATACAGTTTGGTTTAGAGTTAACTGTACCTTATATAAATGTAATGCCACGTGACATTACACATAAATATGTTCTAGTGACAATTCAGAGAAAAATGATGGGTTGTGCCATCATAAAGTTAAAGCATCACTAAAATAAGCCATTGACTCCAATTTTGACATCTGTGCCCTGTCTCTGTAATAACAAAAGTACTAAACAATTCAGGTTCTCTGTTCCCGTTATCAGGAGTGGTTGGGAAAATCTAAGGACCAATGGAATGTGAATTGTATGACACCATAATTATCTTCACACAGGAACACTCACCATGCAAAAAGAAATCTTTAAAAAGGGAAGGCTAAAAGAATGAAATGTATGGCAAGATTGATTTCTGGTCCTATACTTTTGTATTTCCTATGTGGAAGTAATGCATTTAAATTAATTGGCCTTCAGCAAAGAATAAGTGGGTTGTCTTTCTAGCTAATGAAATTTCATTAAATCTACTAATTGGGAGAAATGAAAGGAGAACACAAACTATTGCCAACACAAAATACTCAGTTCTGAAGGGTATAATCATTTTCCTCATTTTTATACTATAGTACTTTGCCAAGTAATAAAGACAAACCTAGGCCCCATATTAAAAAATAAATAGGATATAATACATTAAACAAAAACTCAAAAGCCAATTAAAATAATCAGAAATATATTTATATTGAAAAAATGATAAACATAAGTAGCCTGAGATTCTGAACTGTAAAACGTCATATCAATCTGCAAGGTTGTTGCAATGATGAAATAACATACATAAAATTCTTAAGAGTATCTGGTACATAATTGCTTAACAAATGACAACCATTATTACAATAAGGATGAAAGGTACCTTCACTAATAAGACCTTTTATATCAACTAGTCTACCTCTCTGCTCCATCTTCAGCTTAAACACACAACTACAATCACTGTTAATCATACAGCTTTTTACTAGATCACTGACTAGATCTAAGGAAGTGAAAAACAGTGGTATTTGGAAACCAAAGTGAAATGAAGATAAAGTTACCTGAGTAGGCATGGGTAGCAAAAACATGTTTTGAGATTTTTAAGCAGCATTCACAAGATGAAAGATCGTAGAACAAAACTAAGAAGTAAAGGCAAGTCAAGTCTTAACGGAAACTGCTGTGACATAAGCCCTAATGAATGATAAAATGTTTTTATCTCACTTGAAAACAAGACTCAATATTCTGTCTCCTACTAATTTAGAGTCAGTGGGCTTATTTTTGTCTCAGCTTATTTCTAGGAGGACCTTAATTTCTTTTTCACTGTTTTATGAAGGATTTAAGTCCTTTTTTTATTGTGAAATTCATTTTTGAAGAGTTCCACTTTTATTCTTTGAAGTCAGAGACCTCTTTCTCTGTATCTAATCCTAGAAATCAGAGGCCTGGGGACATAGCTCAGTGGTACAGTGCTTGCCTCATACGTGCAAGACCCACACACACGCAAACACCCATAAAAAGCTACTTTAACTTTGGGCACATATTCATGGGAAGGACCCCCATGGCTATGGAAAAGGTGAAGTATAAAGAAGACTCCAATGGGGGAAGGCCAAAGTTAATGAAAAATCCTTATTCAATGGGAAAGCTAAATGTAGAGAAGCAAAACTCCTAAAGGTAATGGATGAAAATTATTATGGCTTTTGCTGTCCTCACTAGTGGAAGTGCTATCTGTAACTTGAGCAGTCTTTTAATAGATGTTCTGAAAGTTGCCAAGTAGCTTCTTAGGAAATTTATCTGTTTATTCCAAAGTTTAGAATTTGCTCTCTTTCGGACATTCTAAGAATCAAAAATTTAGAAAAATTTTCTCAAAAAACTCCTTTGTCCATTGATACTACTCTTTGCATCTTTATAAACAACCCAAGTACATGCTTTCCCAAACTACACACTGATTCTAGCAGTGAAATATAGGAAATGTCTTTGAATCTGTACACAAAAATATGCCTATGGGACAGGGCCCTATAACTAGACAAACCCAGTTAGATTTCCAATTCCCATCACAGTGGCTCTATCATACAAGCACACGTAAGGCTCAAAAAGCAAAATTAATGCCCAAACAGCCTTTGAGGCACCTAGACATAGAAACGTTTGCTATCCTAGTCACACCAGGCATGAGATAAAAAATACTGTAATATTTTATTGGACCATCCATTTAGAAAAGGTTCTAACCTTTTAGATCATATCACATAATGGCTTCTTTATCAAGTAAGCAAGGAAGCTGTGTCATTTTGGTTGCTTTAAAATCTTATCTGGTCCACTGAACTGCAAAGATCTGAGATCTTATTAAAGGCTGTGGATGTCCACAAAATGTTATCTCTGTTACAGAGAAAGAAGGGACTGTTGCACTTGATAGAATGTCTGGCTTTAGATCAGGCATTCTAAATTTGGTTTCAACCAGGCTTCTACTATGTCCAGTGCCACACTTGATGCTTTAGCCAGGGAAAAATTGTTAGATCCCAGGAACATACCAGGTCTCTGAGTACAGAAGCATGCTTCCAATGTACTAATTGTGGTCACTTTTGTTAGCACCAATCTCTTATCACTTACAAATAAAAGACTATAGCTTCTCTCTGAGAAGAAGACCTGGGTACTAGGATGGAATTAACATGGAAATTAATTAAAGGAGATGTTCCAAGGCCAAAGAGAAGCATCTGAGGCCAATACCAAAAAAAAAAAAAGGAAAAAAAGTAGAAGAAGAAGAAAAAGAAGTATTTGATGAGCAGCAACTCTGGAATACTTTTGTTTCTCCAGTTCTAGTCCAGCCTCATGGCCCCACCTGTTCCCCAATCATTGGGACCACCTCTTCAATCCACAGCAAGTCCAGGGGAGCTGAGGCTCGAGTCTGTCGGTGGTGAATTCGCCGGAGTCGCAGAAGGTACAGGATGATGGCCAGTAGCACCACCAGGATACAGGCAAAGAATAGATAATGGTTGTAGACAAAGGACAGACGAAACCAGTTACTATGGACTTGTCTGACACCTTCCTGTCGAAGATCCCTAAGGAAAGTGGAAAGAACAGTTAGTTTCAAAGAAAATCAGTTATTCTGCTATCACGGCCTACTGCTGTCCACACAAATATTCCAAGGTTCCAGTTCCCCAGAACAAGGAAAGGTGAAAAATGTCCCTATCACCGAAGCTGATGTGATTTTTTTTCTGTACTTTCCTTTTTGGGGCGCACGTAATTAGCCTGCAGGCACAAACCATCCAGAATCTAAGGAAGTGACTCTACCCCTTAGGAGAGCTTACTCTATCCAGACAGCCTAGTCCCTTTCTCTAGTCAGGTCACATTTTTTCAGCGTACTATAAGAATGACATTTCAGTTCATCAGTTAGCATTCTAGAGGTGATCACTAAGAACTCAGTCCTAAAAACTGACTTATTGAAGCTAAACCAGTAAACCTGACTTACTGAAAAAGCAAAGCTAAGAAACAGATTCCAGACCAGTAATTCTTTTTTTTCTTTTCATATCTATTTTAAAGAGAGAGGGAAAAAAAATTTCAAAACTCAATAAGTAGGGGTTAACAATGGTATATACATTGCATATTATATATATACATATATATATATATATACACACATATACTGTTTCAGCTCACACTAGTGAGACAATACGTTTACACGTTTATCTGATTTATTTCACTTATGAGTATGGTCTCAAGTTGCATCCTTTTACCTATAATAAGTCTCCAGTTTATTCTAAGTCTGAATAGTACTCTATTATATTAAAAAAATCACATCTTTTTAATCCATTCCTCAGTCAAGAGGCATTTAAGTTCTTTCCAACATCTAGCTATCACAAATTGTGCTGCTATAAACATGAGTGTACATGTACTGCTGTGGGATGATGTTTTTAATTCTTCTAGGAAGATATCCAGAAGGGGAATAGCTGGGTCAAATGGGACCTCCAATCCTAGTTTTTTTGAGGAATTTCCACACTGATTTCCAGAGTGGCTGCAGCAGTCTATACTCCCACCAACGGTGGAGAAGGGTTTCTTTTTCCCCCACATTCCCTCCAGCACTTGTTACTGGTTGATTTCTTGAGAACAGTGGTTCTTTCCAAGATGGGGTGGAATCTCAGTATTATTTTAATTTGCATCTCTTGAATGAATAATTCTTAACTTTCTGTTTCAGCATGCCTGGTTAGAACAGTAGCCTACATGGCAGTTGGAATGGGAATCTGTTTATTTGGGGGCAAAGGTTGAGAGGGGCATCATTTAAATCTCTTTTGAGGCATCAACTAACATTCTCTCAACTGCACACGTCAGCATGGTCAGTTGCATTTACCTGAGTGGTAAAAATCGTGTTTTATAGAGGATCGCTCCCAGCGTCCACTGAACTTCTCGGTCATAAACCAGCTGAGCCGTCCGTAGGTTTGGGTAATCATAGGGAAAGTGGAATCCTTCATGTAGGACTTGGTACATCCAAGCTGACTTAAAACACTGATATCTGATGTGACAAAAAAAGTTAAATTCTTAAAGAATTCCAACATTTTCCTTTGCAACAAGCCATATATTCACACTGGATGTCAAAAGACTTGCCTATCCCTGCCCTCTTCCTCACCAAATTTCAGTCTCCTTCATCTTACTACAAAAATGAAAACTGCCTTTCAGCAATAATGGTATGTTGTAGCTCTGGTTTCCTTCTCTTTTCTTTCTTCTTCCCCTTTCTTCTTTCTTTCTGAATTCTTATCTTCAGAGAACATGTTGAAATATTTACTAATGTGACTATATCTAGGATCTGCTTCAAAAGAAGTCTGCTGTAAGAGGCAGGTAGTGAGTGAGAAAAACAAAAGCAGCCAGGAGTTACTACTAGTGGAGATTCTAGGTGAAAAGTGCCTAGGAATTTATTATATACTCTTTTATTTTTATATATAACTTTGAAAATTAGGGGCTGGGGATTTAGCTCAGCGGCATAAATGCCTACCTTGCAAGAGCATGGTCGTGAGTTCGATCCCTGGTACCAATAATAAAAAAAAAAAAAAAAAAAGAAAATTTTAAACTAAAAATTTAGAGTAAGAGGACCAATGAATCAAATTGCCAAAGTGGCAATAGTTGTTGAAGCTAGGTTCTATTTATATGCTATTCTTCTTCCAACTTTTCTGCACATTTTCTCTAGAGTAAAATGTTTAAAAATAAAAAAAGAACATCTATTTTGCTTTCAAGTCACTTGGTAAGAACTCTGGTAACCACTGATTTCCCTTGGCTTATGAAATTGGGTCACTATTTGGGCCCTGTTCCCTCTGAAAATCAAATTCTGAAACAATCAAATTCTCCTTCAACATAAAATCACATCTGTACTACTGCTGAATCACTCTCCATCACAGTCTGCCATCCATATTTGAAGGCCATACCTACAGAGAAAATGAAAGTGACTTACTTGAGTCGATGTTCATCTGCATGTGAAGAAAAGAGGCCATTCTTGAATCTCTGAGTTAGTACTGACCAAGCCATGCCACAGTAATCCTGGAACAACCACACACAGAAACAGTGCAACACAAAATTGGAGGCATTTCCTCATGGTACAGCTACTCCATTTCTAGAGTTATTTGTGACTACTAGCTGAGAGCAAGGGAACAGAAATGACACATTCATTCACTGGATGCTGTTACATGTAACTCTATTCCCATTCCCAAGCTGGCTTCTGAACCTTTACTAGGTTTCAGAAAGGGCCAAGGTTAGAAATAGCAACATCAAAAGCCAAAAAAACCTTCATTCTACTCTATGTAGCACTGATGGGGTTAGGGAGAACAGGTAAAACAGAATGGTTAGAAACCTATAGGAAAAAATGGAAACAAAGCTTCTATAACTACAAAACGGAAGGGTTGAAGGGAAGGGAATGGAAAAAAAGAAGATACGTTATGTACAAGTACAAATTCCCTACGATGAATGTGAGCACTATGTATATAAATATGTACTAATCAAAAATTTTTAATAAAGGTAAAAAAACCTATCATTATGCTGCTTCCATACTGTAATTCTCACCAAAATCGCTCCTTTTGGTTTGTTCAGAAAACTATTTGCTGACTGTTGTGGTTTGTTTATATGTTCTCCTCCTCAAAGCCTCATGTGATCATAGGAGATCAGGCCGGCTGAGTCTAGTATCTGTGATTGGTTCATTGCCTAGTGCTGGGATTGGTGGTGTGAGTGCTGCACCCACCCAGGGGCGGGTAACTGGCATACAATGTAACGGAGGGCAGGAGGCCTGCCTTTCCCCTTTTGCCTTTTGCCTTTTGCTGCTTTTAGAATCTGCCACAGCTGCCATAAATGGCTGCCACTTAGCCATACCACCCTGCCTTGGAACCAGTTGAGTATGGACTGAAACCTCCAAAAACTAAGCTAAATAAACCTTTCCTTCCTTCATTTTAAGCCTCAGGTGTTTTGTCTCAGCAATGAGAGAAAAGTAACCAAGCCACTGTAACAAGACATCATGTGCTAAGTGCTATGTTAGATGCTGGAGATCAAGCAGTGAAAAACGCTAAAAATTCTTGTCCTTATGAAGCTTACATTCTACTGGTAGGAGTCAACAAATACACACACACACACACACACACACACACATACAAATACAAATACACATGTAAGTATGTAAGATGACATAAATGCTCATCAGAAAACACAAGAAAGGGCAACAGGTAATATGGGAAGGTTATAATTTTGGATAGGATGACCAAGGGAGGTGGGAAGATCACCTTGGAGTCAGAGTTAGAAAACAGAACAAACTCATCTATTTTTCCTGAAGAAGGGAAATTATTAAACTACTAAGAAACTGGATAAGGAATAACTTGAGCCCTTTGGTATTCAAGGGAATAGAATTTGAATGAATTTTGAGATTTAAAAAAAAAAAAAAAAAAAAACCTCAGGTCATGGACAGCCAAGAAGCTGGAGGCTCCAGAGAGGAAAGTGAATAAACAGAAATTTTTGGAGGGTGCAGAGGAAAGAGCAATGTGGATGATATTCTGTTAGAAGTTTGTTTTTTTGTTTTTTAACCAAGAGAACCCTAAAGAATTATGAGAAGACAAAAAGGAGAGAATAAAAATACAAGAGGATATATTCTTTTCATATCTTTTTCTGATGGCAGATACAGGTCAAGAGTTATACAAAAAAGAAGAGATGATGGGTATATAGCTCAGTGGTACAGCACATGCCTGGCACGCACGTGGTCCTGAGTTCAATTCCCACTACAAAGAGAGAGAGAGAGAGAGAGAGAGAGAGAGAGAGAGAGAGAGAGAGAGACATGACTGCTATAGTTGAAGGGTTGGTCATTGTTATGGTTTATATCTAGATGTCCCCCCAAAGCCTCACGCTCTTGTAGGTAGGGTTTTGGGAAAGTGACTGAATTATGGGGGCTACTGAATTATGGGGGACTTGCTCTTAGGAGGTAGCATCTAGTTGGAAGGGGGGAGTCACTGGAGGCAAGGCCTGAAAGGGTTTATCTGCCTCTCCAGCTCCTCCCTTCACCCTCTGCTTCCCAGCTGCCATGCCATGAGCAGCTCTCCTCTCCCCAGAGAGGAGGTTGGGTTGCCCATTATACCGTTCTGCCTTGGAGCCAGCCAGTATGGACTAAAAGTGTAAGGCAAAATAAATGTCTCCTTCTCTAAATTGCAGATGTTGGGCATTTTGTTCCAGCAGTGGGAAAAATAACCAAGACAGTCCCCAAGGTGGCCACACTGGCAGATAGTAGAACCTTTAGAGGTGAGATCTAGTGGGAGCTGTGAGAGCACCCCTGAAGGGACTGTAGAGCCCCAGCTCCCTCCTCACTCTCTTTGCTGTCTGGATCATGCTATAAATGGTTTTGTTCCAACACACATTCCTACATGATGTGCTACCTCACCACAGCTCCAAAGCAAAGAGGCCAACTGACCATGAACTGTAACCTGTCAGCCAAAATAAAATAAGTTGATTATCTCAGATGTTTTGTTATAGTCACACAAAGTTGATTATTGCAGACTCAAAATTAAGGCAGGGAGCTAAAGAAGGACAGCTAAACTTTTACCTGTCAGGGTAACTAATGATTTAAGTCTATAAATGCTTAAGTTTTTATATATATATATGTACAAAGTGAATTTTTAACCCCCCATTTTAAGTTTAAATAATACTCTTACCATCATTGTTTTCACTGTATCTAATATTCTAAGTGGTTCCCTACCACTCCGACCCCTTAAGACCTCAAACCAGGAGAAAGAAAATGGATTTGTCTACCAGTATGACATCATCACCAGAAGCACATTGTAACTAAGACATCCAGCAAAGGGAAAAATAAATGAGTTGATACTTTTAAGCCATCAACATTAAACAAGACTTCTGGGAAGTTAAAGAGTAAAGACCATTAGCTACCATATCAATTTTACACATGGGTAATATGACAGCCAGGAAAACCTAAACTTAATTAATTAGAAGGAAGATTAGCATAGCAGGTTCTGTAAATTTGTTTGTTTGAGATAAGGTCTTAGAATGTAGTTCAGGCTGGCCTTGAATGCACTATGAAGCCTAAGCTGGCCTCAAACACGTGGCAATCTTCCTGACTCAGCTTCCTGAGGGCTGGGGTTATAGGTATGTACCAACACTCCTGGCTTCCTTAACTTTTCTGAGTCCCTGTCTCCTCTGTAAAGTGAGGGCTCATAGAGCTCCTGCAAAGTCTCAAGTGAGATCATGCATGCAAAACCCTCTGCACAGTGCCTGGCACAAAGTTAGACATCCAATAAATGCTGAGTCATCTTTATGATTAATGATTTACCTGAGCAGCCTTGGCAAATGTTGGCCCATGGTAGCGGCCACCTATGCGCAAAACATCCTCTGTACAGTAAAAAAACTCAGAGAAGCCATAGAACTCGCTGTTGTTAAAGTCGATTGGTGACTGGTAAATGCCATTCAGTGAGGCCTGGCTAGTGTTGGAGCGAGCCAGGAGGGGGCTCAGCATCACCCCACAAGTTGCCCAGTCTCCCTTTCCTCGGATATGCAGGACCTGGTTGTTTCTCTCCACCACATCTGTCAGTCCCACAGGTAAGCAGGGATCTAGAAACGGATTGTCAGGACTCAAGCCTGTCTTCTCACCCAGCAATCTGTCACAATGACAAAAACAAAATGTAAGACTAAGGAACTCAATTTTACTGAATAAATACAATGTGCTTCATAGATACCTTGGTGTTTTCATGACATCCCTAGAAACAAGGGTGGAACACAGTATTAGCATGCAGTAGCATCACATGTACATTTAATTAAGTTCATTAAACTCAGAATAAGAGGGGGTGGAAGAAGGAGGAGAGAGGTCAATAATCAGTTTTATTCAACCCTATTGTCAACATGTCCATTTCACAGCAGAGTGAAACTACAGATGTGAATCAGCTGTTCTTTTTCTGAACTTCATTCCTCCATGTCTCTTAAAGAGTGTAAGGTTCTCACTAGCTGTCATTCTTACGCTTAAAAATACAACTACAAGGAGGCAAAGTGGGAAGGGCTAGAGGAGGGTGTCCTGAGGAGAGGACTGCAGCCTTGGCACAGTGGGGACACCTGGCTCTGAATGGCCAGTACTGAGACAGAACCAGTGGAGCACCAGCTCCCGGGAGTGACCTGCAGAGACAGGAGCCTCTGAGTAGACAGAGGAGGGATGGCATCTCATTCCTGCCATGGTCATCACACAATTCTAGTTATCTAGTCTACTTGTCTAAAATTTGTGTTCTTGGGCTGAGGATTTAGCTCAGTGGCATAAGCACCCGCCTGGCAAGTGTGAGGTCATGAGTTCGATTCCCAGTACGCCTCCCCCCAAACTGTGTTCTCAATTCCTAGACATTAATATGCAGGATGGAAATTACATGGAGATAAATAAATCTGTGAGTTGAAGTTAATTGTTCATCAGTTCCTAAACAAGCAGATGTGAAGTGCAGTCTAGCATGAAAATGCACCTGCAAGAGTGAAGACTGAAGGAGGCAATGGGAAGGAGGCAATGCAGCAGGATGCTTTTGAACAACTGAAATCCGGCTATTTCAAAGACATGACACTAACTATAAGGAAAACTCAGAAAATCCTTATTAAGAAGAGAGAAAGAGCAGAGCATGGTGGCCCATGCCTGTAATCCTAGCAATCTGGAGGTGAATGCAGAAGGATTGCTGTGAGTTGAGGCCAGCTTGGGCTATCAAAGTGAGTTCAAGGCCAGCAGCACTACACAGCAGGACTCTAAAGGAACTAGGAGTTTGGCAGCTACAAAAGCCTTTACTCCTCATATTCCTGAAGCAGGTGACTTAAGACACTTGGCCAGGAAACGCATAGAAAAATATGTGGCCTTACAAGAAATTGTGAGGGATTCGAGAACACCAGACAGAAATATTCAAACAGAACAATAAAGGGAAAAAAAAGAAAAAGGAGGAGCAATCTGTCACAACCCAACAATATTTGTAAGGATTCAGAAGTTCTTTTCAAAAAACAAGCACACTACTCGATGTTAATGCTATCATCAATCACCCAGGACATCAGGATTCTCCCACACTGAACTGGCAGTGATTAGGCTTATATGATAATTATTTTCTTCAACATGCTCTAAACATATGATAACTAATTACTATGGAGAAATTATTATGAACAGGATACACCAGTACCTCTTCAAGCTAGTGTTTCTGGCTACATAAATAAGTGTAAATACTTTTTTGGTGGAAAACAATCATTGTCCATTTTGCTTTCCTTCAATGTGCATAATGATAAATAGTTTCAAATAAAAACAGGCATCTCACAACAGTATTATGGTGAAATTAATTCACCTGGAATTCAAATGAAAGATCAGTGATCTGTCCAATGCTGGAGGAAACACTGGATATTCTAGACTTACTAAGTTTATCTTAAAAGTTGATTTTTAACTACAAATGTTTCCTCTGTTAGGCATACTGCGGAAGCTAGCTCTCATATAAGACGATCTACTCTGCTGTAAACCAACAAAGGTTTTGAGCACTACGATGTAAAAGAAATCAGGAAGAGCTACATTATACTGCACATTTTAAACATTTAATTAGCTTCACTTATCACTGTGAAGCCATGCCTGCCTGTGTGACACCAGGACAGATCACAATAAGCTACTGTGCCTTCCCGAGTTCTAGTAACAAACAGCAGAAGGCATCCTCGTCCAAGTAGTCTCTCCCAAAGAGAGAGATGCTACCCATCAGCAGGGTAATCAGAAAGAAGGAAGCAAGCTCTTATCTACCTTAGCAGAATATTATTATTTCTTATAAACCTATGTACCTGTTTTTGTTAAGAGTTTCATTCAGCACAAGATCTTCATAGCGCTGCCGGGCAAAGTTGCCTCCAAAACCCAGAAAGGTTGTGACATAAACCCTGTACACATGTTCGGTATGTTGTACATCACAGCCCAGATTGAATTCTGCCAGCAGGATCTTGGCAGCTTCTTCCTGGTGTTAAAAGACCAAAGAGAATGTTAGTTCAAGTTGATTTCTAGAAAGTTATGACACTTTTAACACACTAGGCCTCATTTTCCAGAATTACTCTCTAAAATGCCTTACTGCATCCTGTCATCCTCACACCATTCCTTTAAGAGATGAAATGACAAGACAGCACCAAAATGTACAAATTAAAGGCCAAGTTTGAAAACTTAGTACCAGTATTATGGTACTGTTACATACTCAAACAGTATCTTTGGCTATAAGAGGTGGAATTATTACAGATGTAATAATTATTACAGATATCATTATCATTTGCTCTGTCTTTTCCAACTGTCCATAATAGAAATGTGTTATTTTCATAATGAGGGAAAAAATCTTTTATTAAGAAAGGAATTTGGAGGTCCATCATGAGATGTATTCTATGCCTTTTTCTAAACTTTATTTAAGAATTCCTAGTATTGAGAGTCCCAAAGATGGCAGAGAGATAACAGCAAACAACAGAGGCTCTCTGAGATAGTCAACTTAGATTCCAAAAATAATATAGCATGGGGAGTCTCAAACAGAGGAAGTTACACCCTCCCGATCCAGGAACAAATTAAGCTGCAAAAAACCAATTAAAAATACAGTCCTGGTGATACAATTGGAACAGCTACAGTCTCAGCACTGCCGCCTGAACTCCCTGCTTGGACTCACTGCTGCTGCTGTGCTTGAACTGGCACAGCCATGATAGCCTGCCAGATTCAACTCACTGGAGAGGCGTTCACACCGAGGGTGGGAGATGGCAAACCGAATTGAGAGCAGAGCTGGCGGGGAACCCCACATCAACCTGTGGTGAGTGAGAGGAATAAAAACTCTTCCATAGAGAAGGGGGAGCTCCAACAGATGACATTCTGGGACCAGACAGGCTAGAACAAGGAGCAGCGCTGACTTCAGCGGGCTACTCCCTTCTCAAGCGGGAATGGCGGGGTGTACTCCACCTGGGTAACGCCGTGGATTAAGACCCAACAGGCTAGCCAAAATCAAGTCCCTATGCCTGACAGTGAACCCTAAGGCAGTGAAGCCTTCAGCAGGTTGACTGACCTGGAGGGGCGGGCCCAGCATTGGCTGCCCAGGTCTGTGTCCCTAGTACACTGCAGTGGGCACAATTCAAACAAACTGTAAACAGCAAAGAAAGAAACTGGGCCTCCTATATATACCTGAATGGAAGGAACAAAAAACTTGAGAAGAGGAGGCAACAAGAAAATGTCCTCAGTCCCCAATCCTGAGAACATTGATCCAGGAAAGGTAAATGCAAAGGAGAATGAGGACAGCAAACATGCAGTATCAGACAAGGCACCAGTAGACATAAAGCAGTATCTCCAGGACCTCATAGACGAGTTCAAAAGTGAAGTATTTAACCAAGTAAAGCAAAATATAAGTAGAATAACTAAAGAAATGCTAAGCACCTCCCAAGAAAAAACAGATGGAAGAATGGAAGAACAAAAAAGGGGGGGAGAATTGTTTGATGGAAAAAATAGAGAAAATATAGAATACATGAAGCAGGTTCAAAGAGATTACCAGCAAATTAAAAACTCCACTCAAAGATGGCAAAACTGCTTGACAGAAACTAAGAATAGACTATCGGAACTGGAGGATAGGTTTGCAGTGTGGGAACATAAAAGGAAAAATTTCTTAAAAATAACAAAAAAAAAAAAAAAAAACAAGCAGTAACAATACAAAGGCTACAAGATGACAAGAGGATCTATAACTTAAGAATAAAGAATGTGAATAAAGAAGCAGGGGGACAAACAAAGGAACTGCAAAGGCGCAGAAATAATTAAGGAAAACTTCCCAAACATAGGAAAAGGAAAAGATGCTTAGATGTATGAGGCATACAGAACGCCAGCCACCTACAACCAAAACAGAACTACACTCAGGCCCATAATAATCAAGATTCCAGAAATCCAATATAAGAACAAAATATTAAAAGCTGTCAGAAACAAGAAACAGATCACTTACAAGGGAAAGCCCATCAGAATTACATCAGACTTCTCAACACAAACCATCAAATTGAGAAGAGCGTGGGGCAAAATAATCCAAGCCTTGAAAGAAAATAACCTCCAGCCAAGGTTGATCTATCCTGCACAACTGTCCCTAGAAATGGAGAAATAAGATGCTTCCAAGATAAAGAGGAACTGGAGGAATTCACAACCACCAATCCAACTCTACAGAGAATACTACAGGACATTCTAAAGAGAGAGAAAAGCACCAAGATTTCAGGAACAGTGGCAGAGAGGCCCCAGTGAATGGAACAAAAAGCGAAATGAAGAAGACAAACAGACAACTAATGATGGAAAAAGAGCTCAACAGAGATGAGGCAGAGAAGGTTGGATGTAATTTCTAATATAGATGGCCTAGATACACTAACTTAAAGGAAAAAAAGAGAAAATCACAGGCAGAGTGCATCAAGAGGTAGGGTCCATTGAGATGCTCTTTATAGGGAATATAATTAACCTGAAGAAGGGTATATGGACCAAAATCAAATATGAGAAAACAGAACTCGATGTGGTAAGGAACCAGAGAGTAATAGGGGCAAATAGACCAGTACTTATGGATAGGTTGAAAAGACAGGCTTTAATAAGTGAAGAAATACAACTAGAGATCAAATCCAGGAATGACAAAGTTCGGACACACTTAGGTAAATAGCAGGTTGCCCCCCTAATATAAAACTGAGAATGTTGAGGAAACCCAAAAATACAAGTACATCCTGGGGGAGTGAAAGGGGAGGAATAGTTTTTAAAAAAAAAAAAGACAGCAGAAGATATTGCTAATAGTGTATCAGGAATTAAAACCCATATTACTTGCACCAGTCTGCTTGGATAGAACTTGTTTCTTCGCAGTTTGTATATAAGCACTGGATGTGAGGCACAGACAGCTGTCCCGAACATATCATGATACAGCATGGTGGTCATCTTTAATTTCCTATTAACTTAAGCCAGATCCCTGTATGACTTATACTGTTGTATCTTGACTGATCTTGTTAAATCTGATTTGTTTGATTGCTGCTTATTATTAAGACAGATTTTACTCAAAACATTGGTTGATGGTATCAAGGAGAGTATAGACAACTATACTGAAAATGACAATAATTCTCTACGATACCCATTCTGACTTGACTACTTATTTTTGTAGCTCTACACTATCTACAAAGTTGTATTTTTATTAATTCTGTAATGAGCTGATATATTCAATTATACTTTATCTGAAAATATAGCCAATTCTTCTGATGATAACAAGAGATAGCACGTAACCATGATAGAACTCCTTGTACAGCAGTTTTACATGTCTTTTTAGTCTTATGTGTCTATAGGAATATGTTTTGTTCTGTTTTGTTTCTCCCTCTAATATAGAAAGGATAGAAATACATGCTAAGACTCATGCTTGAGTAAAACCTATAAACAGTTTATGAGAACTGATCTTATGACACATGATGAAATGAACAAATACTTTGAAGGGAAAAAAGGGGCATTGCAGTACCCAGTGCTGATTCTGGAGTGTCATGATGTGAAATCTAGCAATACCATTAAGCTTTGTTCAGAATGATTTTAATCTATTATGTTTTGTTTGCTCTCAACATAAATGAAGATATGGATAAATGCATACATGTCTAAGTGTATAAGATTGATAGCCATATTACTTAGTTTTTGTTGGATAGCTGAACAGAACTGTTTGAAGTCTCCCTGGTTGAATTCCCATTTATATGCTCCATTTTTGTATCTTGAACAATTATTTGTGGGGGGACAATATGTAAATATTAACTAGTGATTTATTACTGTTTATTTTTTTTCTTTGAAAGTATGTACTATTTCTGCCCATTTGCTGTTTTGTTTTGTCTTTCTTTAAATAAAAAAAAGAATTCCTAGTATTTCTTGTGATGAATTTGGGCATTGGGAAGGTTCAATTTCATTTTACCTCCAATAAAAAAGTGCTTTTTAAAAATTTTTCTTTTAGTGCAGAAGGCAAATAATCATATTCCTCAGCTCAAGGCACACTGTCACTGCATTTATTTATTTATTCCCATTTATCCTCATACCACACCTAACCTAGTTCCTGCCACAGGCAACTATTCTAGTGTGCTTAATGAGTAATTTTCTTTTGTTTCTTTTTTTTTCCCCCTTTGGTACTGGGGATCGAACTCATGACCTCACACTTGCCAGGCAGGTGCTTATGCTGCTGAGCTAAATCCCCATGTGTATTGCTGTAAAATAGAAATTATTATTTTTGATTTTTAATTTATGAAAATGCTATTACACTCAGCAACTCCTAGGTACATACACAAAAGATCTGAAAACTTAAGTCTACACAAAAATGTTTATGTCAAAGTTCACAGCAGTATTATTCTGAATAGCCAAAATGTAGAAATGATTCAAATGTCCATTGAATGATTATTCAATAAACAAAAATGGCACGGTCATACAATGGAGTATCATTCAGCCATAAGAAACAATCAGGTACTGATATGTGCTTCAACATAGACAAACCCTGGAAACCCCTCGCTAAGCAACAGGTAAACACAAATGGACACACTGTCTGATTTAATTTGTAAGAAAAACTCAACAGATAGAACTCTAGGAGACACACAGTAGATCTGTGCTTCTCAGGGGGTAAGAAGACAACAGGAAGTAACTGTTAAGAAATACGGGGTTTCCTTCTGAGGTAATGAAAATGTTCTGGAATTCAAAAGTGATGGTGGTACAACTTTGTGCATATGCATAACTTTCTGAATGGCACAAAAAAGACATTAAGCATGTAATGTAATGTAAATGTAAAAATACATTTAGGGATCATTTAAATTTTAAAAAATGCTTTATATGTCTCATTATTTCTTTCCTTTTTCATGAAGTACTAAGATCCATTTTTATGTCATTACATTGCTATGTATATTCCTAATTTCTTGCTCCCAAGTGTACTTTCTGTAACAGTGTTGCTTTCTAAATCTGCACACACAAAGTCATTTAAGAATTTACACC